CAACATCAGTGGTTGATTAAAGGCTGACCTGCCACCAAAAACCCTCACGACAGGACGAGATGGCTGCTGCATGCACTTTCACTGTGAAATGCGCCAGCCCTCTGTCCACCAGTAAGTGTAAGAAGGATAAAATAGAGCCCAACTCACAAGATAGGGGCTCTATTCCCCGCTCCTCACACCAATGCTGGAATCTCAGCCACTTTGGCCTGTAACAGGCTGTGGTGGATTCTGCTCTAGCTGCCTGGATAGACTGAATAACGCTGTCAGACAATCCACCCTGTCTCAGCCTGTCCCTCTCAGGAGCCAGCCTGAAGAGGACGGCCCAGAGTGGGTAACGCCCCGATTGCACCTGCACCTTGAGACAATCGCCCCCCAGAACTGGGGGATCGCCCAGGGCTGGCCCACCTTCATCTGTGTCATTTCTGAGTACCCACGGAGCCCTGACGCGATTCGGTGCTACCAGAATGACTGCCAGACGTTCTCGCCTCACTCTCCCCAGGAGAGGGAAAATGAGACGCAGCGGTGGAAAGGCGTATAGCAGCTTCCTTGGCCATGGCTCGTGTGCAAACGCGTCCACCCCCAAGGGCGGGTCGTCGCTCAGGGCCATGGAGAACCACAGGGCACAGTGGCTGTTGCGCCGGCTGGCGAACAGGTCCACTTCTGCTCTCCCGAACTGGGCCCAGATCTGCTTCACCACCTCCGGGTGAAGCACTCGCCTGGCAGGGGGGCCGCCCCCTCGCCCTGAGGTCGGCCCCTCTGTTCTCCAGTCCCGGGACATGGAGGGCTCTCAGAGATAACACCACCTCTGAGGCCCATAACCACAGCTCCTCCGCTGTGGTCAACAAGGAGGCGGAGCGGACCCCGCCCTGCCTGTTGATATAAGCCACTGTGGTGCTGTTGTCGCACCTGACCATTACATGTCTCCCCTGAATTAGGGGCATGAAATGTCGGAGGACTAACACTACTGCCCGTAGCTCTAGGAGGTTGCTGTATCGAAACTCTGTCAGAGCCCAGCGCCCACCTATAGCTCTCTTCAGGCAGGTCCCTCCCCATCCTGTTCCGGACGCGTCCGTGAACACTGTGATGTAGGAGGTCACCCGTCCCAGTGGAGACCCCCTCCGGAGGTGGTCCGGAGACCCCCAAAACCGGAGGTTGCCCCCACTGAGGGGGGGGAGGAATGGTCACCAGCCGTCGTTTGTGCCTCCAAACGCAGGCTGGGGAACCACCTCTGCAGGCGGCGCATATGTAGTAACCCCAGCGGGACCACCATGTGAGCAGCCGCCATGAGACCCAGAGTCTGCATGACAGTTAAAGCTGTCACTGTCGCCCCCTGTCGCAGCCTGTGCGCCGCCCTGAGAAGGGACGCACGTCTGCTCTCTGACAGGGTGGCACGCAGCGCGTCTGCATCGAGCACCACACCCAAATACAACGCCTGTTGGCGAGGAATGGGGGTGCTCTTTTTCCAATTGATCGCAAAACCTAATTTGGTTAGGTGTGTGATCAACTGTGCTGTGCAAAACATTGTCTGTTCCCGGGACCCAGCCATGACTATGAGGTCGTCTATGTAAAATAAAACTCTCATGCCGTGTGCGCGCAGCGGTTGAAGCGCTGTGGCCACACATTTGCTGAATGTGCGTGGGGATAGGGAATAACCGAACGGCAGCCTGTTGTACTCGTAGGCTGTTCCCTGGAAGGCAAAACGCAGATACTTTCTGTGCTCTGGAACAATTTCCACATGAAAGTACGCGTCTTTCAGGTCGATGGTGGTGAACCAATCGCCTGGCTGCACAAGCCCTAGTAACTGTTTCACAGTTAACATGCGGAATTTCCTGCTGGAAATATGACGATTCAGGCATCGGAGATCTAGAATAGGTCTGAATTCCCCTGTTTTCCTGAGAACCAGGAAATACACGGAATAAAGACCCTTCTCTCTGTGCTGAGGCTGCACAACAGACACAGCCTGTTTCTGCACCAGAGCCTGAATCTCTGCTGAGAGGAAACCCATCTCCTCCTGGGAAGACAGATTTACCTCTCGCATGCCCATAAAAGGAGGTGGGATGCTGCAAAACTGGAGTGAATAGCCCCGTTTCAGCGTCCTGTCCATCCACCTTGTCAGTACACAGCTGAGTTTCCATTCCCCATAACATTGTGTTTAATGGGCAAGCCCTCAGCTGTGGGGCCGCAGCTATAAAGCTGTGATACTCTCTGATGACCCGCTCCGCCGCAAAACTCCCCGTAAAGGGGAGATTCGCCCGTGGGGGGTCGAAGCAGAAAGGGCCGATTATTTATTGAGGACCCTGAACGCACCGCCGCCCGCTCCCTCGACATACCGGTCTTATGATTCATGGTGCTGCATTCTTGTTTTTTCCAATAAATTTGAAATCCAGTTATGTTCCCCACATATGGCTGCATTCATCCTCTCATTGTATCGGTTAAATCTCATTTATTTTTCTCCAAGTTCCTATCTATCATACATAGTGTTGGGATGCAGGAAGACATTCGAATAATCTAACTTAATTTCTATATAAAATGTTGGGTTGTTTTTATCCGGCAGATTTCTTTCAATTTATATATATATATATATATATATATATATACATGTTTTTCTGACCAATCCTTGCATTCCGTGGGACACCAGTGAAGTGATATCTGAGGGAGTGTTGGGATTGTTAAGGTAAAAAGCTGCTATGTTCTCCTGTGAGAGCTGCTTCCCTCCCATAGAATGCTGTATTTTTCTTTTTCACTTTTGTCCTCACAAACTGACTCGTAACAAAGAGGCGTTCCTCCTGGCGCCGTAGTGGGACCTCAGACTCTCCTCCCTCTGGCACTTTTATTTTGGACAAGAAGTTAAAAACTGTTTGGAAGACTTCAAGGATCGAGTCATGACTCCCCCCCCCACCCCTCCTTCACCACCACTACTACACCCACAGCCCACTAACACAGAAGGGTACTCATGTTTCATGAATGTTTGACGGATTGAAAAAATAAAGTTGTGACCCAAAATTAACCAGCACCTTGAAAGACACAACAGGACAATATGTACGACCATGTGTACTTGTATAGAAAGAAATGTGATATAGACTTGTATGGAGAAAATATAGTACACTGAATATATCGCATGATATTTCTTTTTAGGGTCCGAGTGACCGACTGTCATACGGTTGGAAGCTGATTATCAGGTCTGATCAAACAGCAGACTCAACATTCTCTTTGTTTGTAAAGACCATCTGTTGCTTTGTTTTATTTTTACACAGATCATAGTAGTAACTATTCAATTGTTCCCCTCCAAAAGGTTTAAGAAGCAAGAGATGTAATGCATTTTGATAATAAAATAATCATGATGGTAATGTATTTTGAAAACTACCATTGTGATGTGTCATTTTAGGGACTCACTTGTATGTTTTGCACGTCACCCCAGTCCAAGTAGGGAGGAAATGCTATTTATAATTCGTTTTTTAAAATTCATATACATATAGATATCTTACCCAAGTGCGTTTTATTTTCCTAGATTGGGACTACATTGAACACAGCCAGTGAGGATGGATACATGTCCCTAATGCTCTAATTATTAGCACACTGCAAAGCCTGCTTTTAGCCAGCAGGGGTCTCAGTGATGGCCATCAGATTTTGTTATGCTAATGAATCGAGATCATTATGAACAATACAAAGACTAAAGTCTCTGCATCCTTCAGATATCCATTTAAATGCTAGGGGAGAAACTGATTTGGGGGGCGCTCTCAGTTTGAAGGGAGGAGGAGCTGAGGATGGGGAGGAAGATCTCCGGTACACAGCTTCTGTAGAAGTAAATGGTCCTTGTGGCATTAGATCATCTGTGTTTTTCTCCATATGTACCAAAGAAGATGTTACATATTGAAATAACATGCGTCAACCACCTGAGTTCAGAGGAGTGAAGTTTGAGAATTTGTGCCGAGTTGTTTGCTGTCTGCAGGTGGAGGTTGGGGGCTTTAATATACTGTTGAGCTACCCAGAATCTGCAGGTGGGTGCAGAAAGCTGCTGGCAGAGGGTGGAGGTTCTGAGGAGTTATCTCACAGACAGATAGAGGGTGGAGCGGGTCCTGGCAGGTGATGTTGGTTGCTCTTGAGAGGCTGGATTCAAGAGTTTGTCAACAGAGGAGCACTGATAAAAAGAAAAATATTGAATCTGTTGTGTGGCGTCTTAAAACTGCTAAACTAAAACTAAAGACTTCCAAAACTTAAACCTAAAACAAACAAATCAGTATTATCTACAGATTTGATCTTATTTGAGCATTTGGGGCTTTGGTTCTCCCAAAACATCCGCTTCATAAAGTGAAGGATGGACACAACCAGTGTGAAACGTCCTCATGCACCAGAGCGTCTTAATGGACTGTTTCAGTCTCTCCCACAGCTTCTGTCTGATCCAACATCCCAAACTGATAGGTCAGCAGGTGGGATGATGGTTTAGAAGTTTGGGATCAGATTCAAGAACCCTGGAACATCAGCAGCAGGTTTGGAAGGACGAGTCCCGGAGGCAGAGTGTTGGCGCTTTCGGATTAAATGTTTCCCCTGGAGAATATCAGCAACACACAAGAGGATGTCAGGCTGCAGTAAAGTTCTTACTTAACAATATACTTTATAATCCCAAGAGAAGAATACATCAGATGCTCTGTTGAGGATTACTCTGTCAGAATCAGAGACTGGTTCTCAAGGGTAATGTTTGTCATTTCAAGATTTATAGTTTAAGACTAAATGTTGTAGTTTAAGAAATCTAGATTAGGTTAAAGGTAGGGTAGGTAAATTTGAGAAACCGGCTCGAGATACACTTTTTGTTATATTCCATGGAATGCTCTTAACATCCCGATAGCAATGAATATCTTAAGTGCTTTGACAAAAAACCCATTAAAAAATGTCATCTGTGGAAGCCGTAGGACTGTAAAAAGCACGACCAATCATTTTAGCCGGCCCGGCTAAAATAACTGGATGGCCTACCTGCCTGTCAGCCTTCCATCTGTGCACAAACTTATCTCGTGCCCTCATTGGTCATGTGCGCGTTCGTGTGTGTTGGAGGAGGGGCTCTATAAGGAAGTGGCAGATTTTCTCCGGTTGTGTATTTTCAATACTGTGTCACTTTTTAGTGCAAATAAAAAAGTAGTTTGTGGCAATATTTCAGTACCATTCCTTTTGGACACACATATTTCTACATGTTTGGCTTTTCATGGCATGTGTTGATTTATTTTCTACTCGTCGTCCTCAATGGTGAAGAAGAAGGCATGTTCTTCCTCGGCAGGTAGGTTGTCCTCCTCACTGACTCTGATCTTCTGCTCAACAGGGAAGCACCTGGGCATGAGCTTTCTTCTAGTCTGGAGAAAAAAGGATAAAGTTCAAACTGTTCAAAATGTATTTTTTAAAGTAACATTAACTTTTTGTTGCTGTAATGTACTCAAGCTGATTTTTCCCAAATCGTACCTGATGCCAAGTTTTATACATGTATTATATTATTTTTATTGTTTTATTAATTAATTTATTTTATAGGTTTTTATATTTTTATCGTATTTATTGGTTTTGTCTTCCTTTATTTTACCGAGGCATCATATTGATGAAATGATTATTTATTTTGTATTAATATACCTTTTACCTCGTGTGTCCCTTAAAGTGTTGAACTATTATATCATGTTGCTATGCGGCATATGTGCTAAAAGGCTCTAACGTCTGGCCTGATGTGAAATTCTCTTTCTCTGCTTTAAATTGTGATGTGTGCCTTGTGTTTAAAGCACTTTGAGCTGCGCCTGGTGTATGAGAAGTACTATAGAAATACATCTTATAGTGGAGGATGATCCTGATTAATTGCATTAAATTAAAATGTGTGGTATAATGTTTCCAATATGGCATTATTCCTGTTGGAGAGAAGACTCACTTTTTTCTTGCTTCCATCCATAGATCTTAGCTTGCACATTTCTAAGTGCTTCTCCTTCTCCAGTCTCAGCTGCTCCTCACGCAGCCTGGAATATGATGCAGTACAAGAGAAGAAGGTTTAACCTAACAGAGCTCATCACACAACCACACCTCTCTACACGTTGTTAATAAAACATTTACTTTAGTGACTGGCCTGCAACATATGACACTAAAAAAAGCTCATTTGCAAACTTCCCATTTTTTTCTGCACTTTCTGTTATTAGTCTAGTTGCCACATCATAGAGTCCTATTGTGAACCCGTAAATATTGAGTACCACAACGTTTTCTGTTAGAAATGTATAGTACGGGTCCCCAGCACATACAAACTGCCGGATGCTAACTTTAGTACAGACACTAGTTAAAAAATGGGCAGATTTGGAACATTTCCGAGTGGTTTTGGGGGTTATTGAGGAGTCCATTTCTGACATTTTCAGGATCAAAAATGTCAGTTTTAACCAGAAAATGCCAATCTTTGTACTCTCTGTGGGCTGATTTGATTAATTGTGGGTGGGTTTAGAAGATTTAGGGGACTCTGGATCATTTGGATAGGACAGACTGCATATTTAAGATAAATTGTCTGCAGTAGGGATAATAACCAGCCTGTCACAGAGAGTACACATATTGCCACCTTCTGGTTAAAACTGCTATTTTTGAACCTGACAATGTCAGAAATGTCCAGGTTCACATTGCTGGCAACTACACTAATCATATCAACTGCAGTGAATACAAACACACCCTTTGAAAAGGTTTAATGTCATATCATTTCCATTTACAACATATGTGAATACTCTAGTGCAAATAGTAAAACACTCAGAAAAGGAAACAAAGGATTATGTACATGTTGGGTGAAATATATGACCTGGGGCCTCATTTATAACGCCTTGCGTAGGATTGACGTAGGAAGGTTGCTTACGTAGTACAAAGCACAAAAATAGGTACATAAATGTTCCGCCATTTTCCGATTCACAAAACATTGCGTACCGCCGAGGGAAGTGCGTACGGCACTCCCTACGCCTGTTTCCCTTTATAAATCACAATCGACTCGTAACGCCCATATTTGCCTATAAATAGTCAAAGAAACGCCCATTCATTCATTCATTTTGACTGACTGCATGAAGAAGATCGCAGGAAATGACGACAGAACAGCTAAAAAAGACATCTCACACCGTGTCAGATTTTGGTTATTGTGGGGAGGTCGAGATAAATCATATTGTTTGGTGGATGCAGTTTGAACCAGAGTAGCAGCATGGAGGTCGGATCGTCACCAAAATAAATAAATAAGTGGTCCGAAAAAAGTTAATGACAAAAAAATTACACATAACCTTCCTCAGGCAGTGTGTTTGTCCCGGGGACAGGAGACACCCCCTTGATGAGAAACTGTAAGAAATGATCGGGGAATCCCTCCGGAGTGGAGTCATGACGACTGGATCTGAATTATTTTGTTGTATTTGGTGGTTTGTGTTCCAGCTGTCGATCAGCAACTATATATCCATAATCCACCAGTTAAAGGAAATACAACTAATGTGTTGTGTTATATTAGCTGTACAATTTACCACATATGGTGGTTTCCATACCTCCTGTGTTTTACGAGCGACTTATCAAGTCTTGGCAAACGGCATAAAACACGATTAAACGTGATAGTATATAAAACCATGCTCGTATCTACAACCTATAGAAATGCAAAACGGCGTCAGTTTAGACGTAATTCTGTCCTCCTGCTTACCGCATCATTTATGAGAAAACATTTCATAACATTAACACAACATATTCGAGGTGGTTTTAAATAACATATCCGTATTTATTTATTTCTCCAAGTTATGTTTTTGTGTGCACTGAGGAGTCTCAAACAGGCGTTTGTTTAATCATTTTAAGATTGGCTTTAATCAATGTTTGAAAATGAATTCTTCATATTTGATAAATGAGAGGTAACATTTTATTTATGGTATTATTTCCACATATTTCTCTCCATTCTTCCTTCTGCCAACGGTGTCGCAGTTTCTCGTCTCTCCCGTTTGCGTGCTTAGTGCGTACGCATGGGTTAGAGTTTGCGTGGAGGACCGCACATTTTTCCGTCAAGTTAGTATTTTATAAATCGCAAACATTGCGTAGAAACTGGCGTACGCCATTTTTTGAGCGTATATCCCTTTATAAATGAGGCCCCAGACCCCTCATACACTCTCTCATTCAAAGCATACATACTGGGATCCACCTTTAACTCCAGGCTCATAAACACAGACCTGCCCCTCCTAACGCTGTCCTTGCTCAGCCTCAGTCTCTTCAGTTTCTCTTTCGGGATGCTCTCCAAGAGCTGGAACCGTAAAAATATATGGTGTTCAACACTGGCCAGCTTCTCCAAGGTGCTGAGGTTGGTCGGATGGGAGTCCACGCAGCAGCGATACACTTCAGTTATCTTCACACCGAGAGCATCCAACATCGTATCCTGTAGGTAGGGAACAGACAGAAACACATAGAAAACATCTCAATGAGATGCTGCAGGCCACACCCCTCTGCAAAGTCTTTTTTCATATTTTTACATTTTGATATGGATGGATCAGGACAGAAAGAGAGCGACTGTTTGTTCCTGAAACGTTCTGTGTCTCTTAACACAGAGGGGACACATGTGTGTATAAAAGACATGAACAAGTGGACTTTGAATAATAGGCGACCTTAAAGTCACAGGCTCCTCGAACAATGCAACATAAAACAAAACGAAACAAAAACAATAAAAAGTAGTGCAGGAAGGAACAGAGAAGAAATCAAATAGTGCAAGAGAATGTTGCAAGACTAATGTGCAAGTAATGCAGGAGAAGTTAACTATAAGTCAAATCAAATAAGATGAGCTAAAAGACAGAATGTAATATTACATTCTGTACAGTGAAATAAAATACTGTTTATTGTAATAATAGATCAATATTTCAGATGCAAACAGATTGATGGTATAGAGTGGTAGCAGTCTAATGGCCGGTGGGGTGAAACTGTCCCTGAGTCTGCTGGAATGTGTGCTGTGGTGAGATAGGATACCACTTTAGATGATTTCTTGCTTTTTAAATTGTAGGTTAAATCAAATGAAAGTGCATCCTTCAGAGTTCTACTCTGCTGTATCTAACGTACAGTACACTGGGCTTCCTTACGTGGTCCTGGAGCTGAACCTTCTTTTTCAGCGTGGCGGATCTCTCCCGGTCGCTGACGATCCTGTCCTTCATCTCGTCCAGCTGCAGCGTAAGTTTCTCATCATCCTCTTCCCTGCACACACACAGGGGAGAGAGACATCCATCACTTTATTGTCACATGCTGGTCACAGCTTAGTATCTAGCACTTCATGTTTTTCTTTTGAACATTTATTAAAACAAGTTCCTTGACAGCCAGTCTCACACAACATGGTAAAGTGTTGGGAAAATACTGAATGTCCTCTTCCAATATGAGAGTACACATAATAACAAAGGTATCCCAACTGTAGCTGTGTACATGACATGTCATTGTCATATGTACACCAGTCGTGTTTTCTCTATGATATTATGTTGAAATATGAGCTCAATGACTGTAAACAGTAATGATAACGCCACAAAATGCACATTCAAACTAAAGTAATAAGCCTGTTTTCAAAATGTCAGAAGTAGAAAGTACCGGTAATTGTGTTAAAAATGTAAGGAGTAAAAAAAAGATGTCCTGTCTTGGGTCTTAGTAATAGAGGAGAGGCGAAACACGTATTTACTGATAAACAAAATCATAACTGTTACTCAGTGTGATTGGCTGCTTCACATCCCTCACAACGGAATAGGAATTATCATTTCTTGATCTTATGAAAAGTTACACTAAGATATTGAACCTTATTATCTGAGCATTGACTGTCATCTCAGTCCTGGGAACACCCGACATGTGTCTCAGAACATGGCGTCCCCGGAAGTCCGTATTTGATCTTTTTCAATTGTATTGGTTGGTTTGTGGGTTTTTTATGTTCCCATAGTCCCGTTTTTTACTTTACATGTTTTTGTATTGTACATGCCTCTTTTTTGTCTTAAAAATACATTTAGTTTGTTGTCTTTTGTTAAAGCTCATTGAAGAGGATGTTTCAACAGCCCCTGTGCATTCTGGGAGAGGACGTTGTTGTGGTGAAGGACTACAGGTACTTGGGAGTGCACCTGTCTCTTTTTCTATAACCCACAGCTGCTTTGCACAGTTGTAATTAATATATAATACCATGCCAATAAGTGTCTGTAGTACATTTCTATATATTTCTGTAGCTTAGTGAGATTGTATATTGTAGACTTTAGAGTATTCAATGTATTCTATATTTTCGTTATATTGTGTATTATTTAAATACTCAGTGATATATGTCCTTTCTATTGTGAATTTGTATATACTTGCTGCTAGTGTCACTTTTAATTTTATTTGTATCTTATTCTATCTTTTTTATATTTGTAACTTGTCGAATGCATGATAACACTGCTGCTGTGACAACATGATTTCACAATTTGGGATGAATAAAGTATTCATCCACCCACCCGTCCATCCGTCCGGGTCTGCCCGCCCTCCTCCCCCCGTCCATACATCCATCTAGCTAATGCTTTAGCCTCTGCATATTATTTAGGGCTGTTCCTTTCTAGAGTCAAACTAACCTCAGGATAAATCATGCTTACATTTTCCTAGAGGTGGTCTCTATGTCCTGCACGACCTCCTTCAGTAGCAGCTCATCCACCCTGGATGAATTGCGAGTCAGTGACAAGACCTGATCCCTCAACTCTGTCATCAGGTCCAGTATCTGGTGGGGAGAGAGCTCCAGCTTATCCTGCAGGGGGGGGGGGGGGGGGGGGGGGGAGTACACTGTGAACATTGCAAATAAACACTCAAGACACAATGAGGTAGAGCAGCAGGAAAACTGACCTCAGATTGGGAGCTGTCGCCATCCACGTTACCATCCGTGACCCTGCAATGCCAAAGACAGGGTTTGTGCTGGAGACAGATGAAGATGCACCGAGCCCTGTGAAGTGCCTTCATAACCTAAAGTATTCATCTGTTTGCATCTGACCATTTATTTATTTTATTATATATCACTACAATAAACAATACATTTGATTTTATTTCACTGTACAATATTTCATTTGAATTTCTTTACTTGTCTATCTTATTCTATTTACATGTATATGTCTCGTGCATTTACTTGGTTTTTGTTTTGTGTTCTATATAGGAAATAAGTATTTGATCCCTTGCAGACTTTGTAAGTTTGCCCACTTACAGAGAAATGAACAATCTATCATTTTAATGGTAGGTTTATTTGAACAGCGAGAGTAAGAATATACAAAAGAAATCCAGAAATTGACATTATATAAAAGATGAAAATGTATTTGCATATAACCGTGAAGCGTCTGACCTCTGTGTGTCCAACAAGGCTTTCTCCACCAAGTACTGACACATGTTCTGCAAGGGGATCAAATACTTATTTCCTCCACTGTATACATTATGTTGCATTGTTGGAGGAGCTTGGCACTTAGGATATTTTCCATATCTGCACTGTAGCTTCTGTGTATATAACAATAAAGCCTTTGAAATCTTTGAGAATGAAACACTGAACCACAGCATATGGGTTAGACCAACACTTGCAGCGGTGATTGTGGTGGATGTGAGCGTTGATGTGTCCTTACAGCGTGTCAGTGTGGGGGGGGGGGGGACGACTCCACCTGCACTGGAGTCCAGACCTCCCTCCGAGTCTGTGATCAGGGATGATTTCAAACCAAAGTCAGGGGATTTAAAAAAAGTATACCTTAAATAATACCTTATTCATATTGTAACTGATGTTGATTCACTTAGTTGTAACACTTTACCCTGCACCCTCGCTGGCTCTCTGAGGTCTGTAGTTCTCAGAGCCTCCTGCCACTCTGAAGGCGGCCGCTTCAACAGGATGTTCAGGTATCTGTTATATTCAGGCCAGATCTCATCAAACATGGGAGGCTCCCTATGAAGAAGAAAGAGTACGTTTGGATCTATGTTCAGTGCAGATGAGTATGTCTGAAACAGCTCGTGTTTATTTATAAAACCTTTTCCAAGCACCTAATGGTTCATATCTGTTTGCATACACACCATGGGCAGAGGTGAAAAGTCACGTTACTGAAGTACTGTACTAAAGAATCATTTTGCGACACTTGTACTTTACTTGAGTATTTCAATTTGTTGCTACTTTGTACTTCTACCCCACTACAATTCAAAGGGAAATATTGTACTTTTACTCCACTACATTTATTGAAAAGCTTTAGCTGCTTTTAACAAAATGCATCTCTAAAAAGGTATCTAGTGGACTTACTCTTTAAGTCACAAGAGTCAAATTATTTAAATAAAAAAAATTACAGATTTAAGTATTCTGACACAGAACGATTTTAGAAGCAATGTATTTATATTGGTAGTATGTTTCGTGCCTGCACCAAATAATAACAAATTAGAAGGAAAAAAAGATGACATAAAATACAGATTTCAGTATTCTGAGGCTCTGAGCCATTTCTTTTCCTCACTGACGGCAACAAAACTCAGACATTATACAATTTAAAATAAAAAGGGATAGGGTTAGGCTTAGGGTAAGATATTGAGTAAGAACATGTTTTTATGAACCACACGGCTTCTGGTCTTCCAAGACCCGACCGGACAAAAAGACGTGGTGCAGGCACGAAACATACTACCAATAGAAATACATTGCTTTTAAAATCGTTCTGTGTGACACGAAAAAAATGCGAAAATCGTGTTGGTGAACACGAATCAATAGATTAAATTAATTTCGTGACTATAACACGAAATGCCGTGAGACTGGGTTGGAATACTTCTTCCTCCACTGTTCACATACAGCGTGGGGCAGATGTACACATACTGTATTTATGTTAAATTCACAATGTTAGCATAAGCCTACCTTTTAAAAGTCCTTATTTTATCGGTGAACTCCTCATTGGTAGAATACATCTCCTGTTTGGCCTTGCCTTGTCTTTCAGAACTGATAACGGAGACAAGATTACAACATTAGATCAATATATTGTATCCAGTCTTAAATTACAATGACAGAGAATCCACTGCTGCTCACGATATTCTGGCATTCTCGGATGTCTCCTCAAACTTCTTCTGGTACTGTTCAGAGAGGTAATTCACTTCTATAAAGTCATATTTAACCAGATCCACTTGTACCCTCTTTTTAAGACAGGCTTCCGTCAACTTCTTAGCCTTTGACCTGCCGGTCTTTAGAGACTCCTGTGGATGGAAGGATGAGGGGCAAAAGAGAGTTGCAGCTCATTAATGAGAGGGAGGGGGTCATCAGGGAAGAATTAACACGTTATGTTAAATTGATCATTTTCATTCAATTGAGATTATGTTGAACACATAGGAACACCAGCACAGTATAGCTTCGCTTCACTCTATGGAAACATTTAGTTAAACCCTGGCAGCAATCAGAGACGTCCTCTGATCTACCCCCCCCCCCCCCCCTAATCTTCTCACACAGAGCATTGCTGCGAGAAGTAGAACAGCAGGTGTAGCAGGTATAATAATACAATCCCCACCACCAAGTATACAGCGTTTTAACAATAGCAGCAATACTCAAATGGAAAAAACAAAGGAAAACAAATAAAACATGGATGTTGAGTAAAATCAAGTAGTGGCATCATTGAAGGCTTTAATGAAGAGATGAGTTGTAAGAAGTGATTTAAAAGATGTCACTGATTCTGCAGGGAGTTCCAGAGCTGCGGAGCTCGACCACTCTTTGTTTTTAGCCTGGTGTTGGTAACAGCCAGCAGAGCCCTACCAGAGGATCTGAGACTGCGGACAGGCTCATATGGGCACAACAAGTCAGGGAGGTAATCAGGAGCCAACCCGTTAAGAGCTTTAAAAGTAATCAGTGAAATCTTAAAACAAATTGTAAAACAGACAGGTCGCCAGTGAAGAGAGACTAAAACAGGGGAGATGGGGTCTAGCCTTCTGGTATTTGTCAAAAGTCTTGCTGCGTCTGTCATTTACCTCATAGTCTTTTCTCCTGAGTTCATTGTACTCTTCTTCATCGCTCTCTGTCTCTGAGAATGGAGGAAAGATAATTGCAATATGAAGTCAGCAATCATTTCCAGTCATAATTAATGCCACTGCAACATTTAACATGCTCTCTGATCTTATTCTCAACCACCTTGTTCATTTAGGACTGTCTTCTGCCCCATTTTATCCATGTCTGAAAGAAGCATTAGATTATTATAATTATAGTTATTTTTTACAGTAGATACTTAGGACGGTAACAATTCAGAGCTATTGAGGCAATTCTAGGCAGACAAGGGAAGGCAGTGTAGGAATACTCTGTTACAAGTCAAAGTCCTGCAATCAAAATGTTACTCATACGAAAGAAGAAAAGTATTAGGGCAGGGATATCTAGATACTTTCCAAGGTTTGACATAATGAATTGCTACTTGAAGTGCTACTTTTAAAGCAAGCAACGGATGTTTTCAAATCTGTAATCAAAAACGCTATCGAAGCAGTTCCTACCGTTGCTACATAGTTCAAACAATAACAACTAGTTGAGTAGAAGTTTAGTAGCAAACAAATTAAAATACTCAAGTAAAGTACAAGTACCTTTAAGTAGGCCTACAATACTTGAATAAATCTACTTTGTTGCTTTACACCACTGATTCCAGAGAAGGTAATAACATTAGAAAAAGGAATATTTTGAGTATCATAAACGATAAGTCGCCTACCGTTAGCCGTAGCTGAAAAACAATTGATCTGACAGAGTATACATAAAGCAAACCGATTTAGTATTTAACTTAATATAACACCAAAAATATCTTAGGTATTTAACTTTATATATTATTATTTTTGTATTTAGATATATTATAATGAAGCACTACTTACTGTAAATTGAACTCTTTCGCGTTTCGCTAACTGTGGTCACGGTAACTATACTGTATATCTCGGTAACTGCCTTCCACACAGCTTCAAACGTAAACACTAGAATAGAGTGGCGAAGTCCCTCCCCTTCCGGTGGACCTCCATGGGACCTTATTTCGGAAAAGTTATGCATTGAAGTCAATGGAGAGAGAAAGATTATCTTTCGATCCCGTTTGAATTGTGCCACGAATTACACATATGATGTTTGTCAATTTAAAAGATAATTTTGCAAGTCAAAAAAAAAAAAATGTGTCGTAAAACTGTGAAGTAACACATTTGTTTGTGTGAAACGCTAAATGAACTACATCTCTGGTCAACCACACACGTCACCAAGATGGCCGTCACTACTGTCTTGTCAACAAACGATTGACTATCACCACAATGAAACACGTCCTGAAGAATGTCATGCAAAGCTGCCTGCCTGCCTTCCTTTGATTCTCTCTGAACTGCCTGGTCGTTTTAATGTTTAATGTCAACCATTTGTGCAGATAGCATGAAGTAGAAAAGATCGCCGATGCTAACGTTAGCGTTAGCATTTCTCCCCCGGAATTAAATGGTGTATTATAGAATGATCACACCGGTGACAGTACTATTCAAAGGGTTCACGAAATATGACTACTACTCTTACTGTTTAACATTTTGGGTTACTTAATGTTACTTCATGTTAAGGCTAATAAAAATGACAAGGCTGTAATGCTAACTAACGTGCTAGCTACTAGCTAGGTAGCTAACTTGATCAAGCCACTCCTGGTCGTTTCATCAGACGGGAAGCAAAAGAACGAGCAAGACCCATTGCTGGTATAATAACAACCTGGTACTAAGCACACAGGCATCTTGTTAAAGTTATCTTATCTTAGCCAGCGCCATATAGATAGATTATATCTATATTGCGCTGATCTTAGGTATCTGAATGGTGGAGGTAAACAATTGTGACATCACTTACGCGACCCTGTGATTTGTAGTCTTTCTAGTTACGTATTTTTCATAGTCTTATATTTCAACAGTTTTACGACAAACTGTGACTTTTTTGACATGGAAATGATTTTTTAAGATTGACAAACATCATATGTGTAATTCATGGCACAATTCAAACGGGATCGAAAGATAAGTTTTCTCTCCCCATTGACTTCAATGCATAATTTTTCCGAAATAAGGTCCCATACCCCGGAAGTAAGTGGGAGGGACTTCGCCACTCTATGGAGAGAGAAAGATTATCTTTCGATCCCGTTTGAATTGTGCCACGAATTACACATATGATGTTTGTCAATTTAAAAGATAATTTTGCAAGTCAAAAAAAAAAAAATGTGTCGTAAAACTGTGAAGTAACACATTTTTTTGTGTGAAGCTCTCAATGAATGAACTACAACTCTGGTATTGCACACGTCACCAACACCAAAATGGCCGTCACGTTAGCACATTTCACCTCTTTCTTGGTATTATTCTATTGATATATATGTCTTGTAATGGTAAAATCAATTTGTTAAATCATAAACACATTTTAAATAACAGTAATTTTGCACAGAAGGTGTGTCCCTCAACATACGCGCAACCCTGTTACCGAAACCTTTTTAGCTTGGCAGAGGAAGTGAAAAAACTGTTTGTCGCATGACACAGTGGAAAGGACATCAGCAAGCCATGTGCTACTACCATGGGTAGACCAAAACTAAGTCCTCTCTTTTATTTGTAATATATTTCCAATCTTGTCACTCTTGAAGGAGTGTGGCACTCATACAAACGCAACCCTGTTACTCAAATTATGAGACTAAAACAAATTAATTTCAAATGTATCTTTCTTTAGTTAAATATCTAAGTGTGTCCATTCCTTGACAATAGCATTACATTGTGCAGCTAGCATTAATTCCTGAGGTAAAAGCTAAAATTAGCATTGATTTTCAACCCTGTTACTTGCAACCCTGTTACTATAATTAGAGTAACAGGGTTAATTCTTCATTGGAAAATATACATTTGATGCCTTAGCTGGGCAAATCACTTTTTTTGATGGTTTATTATCTGTTTTTCCTAAATACATAACAAAAAATAATAAAATGAAAGGTTCATTTTTCAAAAATGTTGTTGTCTAAATTGTCCTCCAATTCTGGAATGACCCGTATACTGCATCCCTCCAAATCAAATAAACCATAAACAAATACATAAAGTCGTGTTCACTGCAGCGATCTATTTCACACACAAAACTATATGAAAACTTGGTGATATACAGTTTTCTCCTGGAGACCAAGGGAAGACAGGCTTCTCCTGTTTTTTCAGCCTTTGTTATAATTTTGATAATTAAAAATATATATTCTTGTCTGTGGTTGTTTTTTGCATTCAGGGCATACAAGAGGTGTAACATTATTTTAATACCAAAACTATATTGAAATAGAGTCTAGCTTGAACAGCAACGTAGCTGTAACATTACTGGGTTATTTGGTGATAACTAAGTAAAGTAACTTCAGACGCAGACGTCACGTAGCTTCTCAGACGAGAGGGGTGGCGACGAGAGTGTCACGTTACTTCTCTCGCGGCATAGTTCACGGCATGGTAGACGACGACCGACACGATTGTCTGCTCAGTGAGTTCGCTCTTTGGCACAAATCACACCTCATAATCACACCTCACATAATCACATAATCACATAATCATATAATCATATAATCACAATCACACCTCACACCTCACCTTCTGTGATGCGCGAGCTGATGACGTCGCGTCATCATCACTACTTCACGTCAAGACGAGTTCACTTTTTTTTAATTCAACTTTGTGTGGAAAAATGCGGGGATTATGCGCCCTTTTAATAAATATGCACCCTTTTACAAATCTGCGCCATTTTGCTGATTATGCGGTAAATTATGCGATCGCATAATCGCGTTTTTCTGGAGGGTCTAGTATATATATATTTATACCAGATTGTGAAAAATAAATCCCCATGGTATTTAATACAAAAAAATCTAGTGGCATTGTGATAATAAACTGCTATTGAAAGAGTTAAAAACCTGAAAACTGATGAATATCTTTGATGTGAAAAGGTTGGTTCCTGTATATAAATAATTCAGTTTTGGACACATACATTTCTGTTTTCTAAGGTTTATTAAGTACTGGTATGTGATCCATTTACACTCGTGATGAAATGTCATTACTCCAAGTTATAACAGTGCTTATACTCGAGTTATAAGACGTTGTTATATTTCGCTAACAGTGTGATTGATATATGTAACGTCGGTATCGGCCGATTCTGATTCGGGTGATCGGCCCCAAAAACCCTGATCGGAGCATCCCTACTGACAAAAGTAGACTTACTGAACCTAAAATGTCCTTAGCAGACGTAATACTTTGGAAGACCACACTATGACTATAACTAAAAAAAGAAAAACATGTTTTAAATAAATAAAAGGAAACTTATCTTATAAAAACTAACACACTATATAAACTAACAAAAACTATCAACTAAAACTTATCTTAACTCATTGAAAATTCACTAACTTATTATAAATTATAACTTATTAACTATAATAACTTAACATAATAATCTAAAACAATCAATCAAAACTTGTCTGACTTACTATTAACTATAATAACTTTAAACTAAAAACTAACTAAAACCAATTTAACTAACTAACACTGAAACTAAAACTTTGTGCCCACTGCTCTGAAGGCGACCCAGTTCTCGGTGGATCCGATAACTAATCTTCTGCGGCGCGGTGCAGGATGCTGCGGCGGTTTGGGAGGCGGGTGAGGCAGCAGTTTCACGGTGCCGATGGAAGGCATATCTTATAAAAACTAAAACTATCAACTAAAACTTATCTTAATAACTAATTGAAAATGCACTAACTTATTATAAACTATAACTTATTAACTATAATAACTTTAATCTTAACTAAAACCTAACTAACACTAAAAACTAACTAACTAAACTAAAACAACTAACTAAAACTATCAATCAAAACTTGTCTTAACTCACTGACTTACTATTAACTATAATAACTTTAAACTAAAAACTAACTAAAACCAATTTAACTAACCTAACTAACAATAAAAACGAACTAACTAAACTAAAACAACTAACTAAAACTATCAATCAAAACTTGTCTGACTTACTATTAACTATAATAACTTTAAACTAAAAACGAACTAAAACCAATTTAACTAAATAACACTGAAACTAAAACTTTGTGCCCACTGCTCTTAAGGCGACCCAGTTCTCGGTGGATCCGATAACTTATCTTCTGCGGCGCGGTGCAGGATGCTGCGGCGGTTTGGGAGGCGGGTGAGGCAGGAGTTTCACGGTGCCGATGGAAGGCAGGGGGACGGTCTTTAGGATTTTTGGCAAACACTTGGACTTGATGAGGACGCGATTTGGCTGAGGTTTGTAGCCGGAGACAGCCTGGTCCCTGGCGGTTTCCTCAGCGGGGGATCGGGGGTTTTGGGAGATGGGGGGCAAGGGCGGCAGCTGGTTCATGTCTCCAGACTCTGAATTCCTGAGTTTCTCTTTAGTCTTCAAGTTGTCCATCTTCAGGGTATTTTCCACTATCTGGTTCTCCTCCTTCAGGTTGTCATACTCCGGCTGGTACACCCCGAGGCTTGCCATCTGCTCTTTGCACTGGCAATTGTAGTGCAAGCCGAAGTGGTGCAACTCCCGTGAAGAGAAGTTGTTCAGGAGCCCCTCGATCCTCGGGATGAACGCCTCTTGATGTTTCTTGATATAATTATCCATGTCCCCTTTATGGGCCTCAAGCTCTTTGATGGTGAGTCTGTCCGCGTCCTGGCTGCTTCTCGCCTGGTTGAGTTTCAGCTGCAGCTGCACCTCCATATCCCCTCGTGTCTGCAGCTCTTTCTCCAGCGTCTCAATCAACCTGGCCATCTGCTCCTTCTGAACCTTGGCCTCGCAGGTCTTATCTTGGAGTTTCTTATCCTTTTGATCAATAATTTCCTTGAGCTTAGATTGCTGCTTTCTCAGGAGGAGGTTTCTCTCCGCCACCACTCCGTCAGCATGGGTGATCGTCTGCGTTAGCTTCTTCTCCAGCTCCACGTTAACGGCCCTCAGTTTGATGATTTCTTGGAAATGGGCGTCAGTTGCATGCTTCGTCTTCGTCTCTTGATGTTGGAGTTTAATCTCCAGATCACGCTTCTTCTTCTGCAGCTCTTTCTCCAGCGTCTCAATCAACCTGGCCATCTGCACCTTCTGAACCTTGGCCTCGCAGGTCTTATCTTGGAGTTTCTTATCCTTTTGATCAATAATTTCCTTGAGCTTAGATTGCTGCGCCTTGTCCTCACGCTGCTTTCTCAGGAGGATGTTTCTCTCCGCCACCACTCCGTCAGCATGGGTGATCGTCTGCGTTAGCGTCTTTTCCAGCTCCACGTTAACGGCCCTCAGTTTGATGATTTCTTGGAAATGGGCGTCAGTTGCATGCTTCAACATCCTCTCTTGATTTTGGAGGAGGAGGTTTCTCTCCGCCTCCACTCCGTCAGCATGGGTGATCGTCTGCGTTAGCGTCTTCTCCAGCTCCACGTTAACGGCCCTCAGTTTGATGATTTCTTGGAAATGGGCGTCAGTTGCATGCTTCAACATCCTCTCTTGATTTTGGAGGAGGAGGTTTCTCTCCGCCTCCACTCCGTCAGCATGGGTGATCATCTGCGTTAGCGTCTTCTCCAGCTCCACGTTAACGGCCCTCAGTTTGATGATTTCTTGGAAATGGGCGTCAGTTGCATGCTTCAACATCCTCTCTTGATTTTGGAGTTTAATCTCCAGATCACGCATCTTCTTCACTTCGGACTCCATGTGTTTCGTCTCTTCTTCGTGCGTTTCTGCTGCCTTGATGAGGACTCTGTTTTCTTCCCGCACTATTTCCATGTCGACTTCCTGGTTTGCATACTTATTTTCCAAGTGCACTACCGTTTTTTTTAAATCCTGTATTGTGCTGTTGTTAACATCGTCCTGTCTTCTCTGTTTCTTCTGCTCCTCTGACAGTCTCTCACACTCCTTTGTCAAAACCTTCACTTTTCCACAGTAAGGTTTCCGAGTCTGACAGTTTAGTTTGTATTTGAATGCAGACTCATTAGAGTTTTTTGCATCCTTCTCAACGGCTGCCATATCCTTTTTTTTCTTCCTAATAACCTGTCCCAGCTCTTCAATTTTTTTTATGCTGAAGTTTTTATGGCCGGTCAGCTCCTCCACATCATGAGACAGTTTCTCCACCAGCATGTTCAGCCTCCTGTTCTCCTTTGAATGGTTTCCAAAGTGTTCTGCTTCTTTCTCCTTCTCTTGGCGGAGAGACTTCTCCACACCGAATTTGTTCTTATACTCCAGATACTTTCCTTTGTAGAAGACAGCGTTCTCGTCAGAGACTTTCTTCACACTCGCTACGTCACCTTTTAGATGCCGGTTTTCAACTTTCGACTCGTGCAGTTTCTCTCTCATTATTTGTAATGCGCGCGTCGGATTTTGGACAGTACACTTCAGGTCAGCTTTCTTCTTCTCTTTCTTCAGATTAAACTCATCTGTAACCATGGGAGAGATCTTCCTTTTATGCTCTGCGTTCTGGTTCATCAGATGTTTCTCATTGATTTTGTACCTGTCTATCTCCTCCTGCTGGGCAACAATCCTGGCTTCACGGTCGTTGGAAGGCTTCATTGTGACTTTATGTGAGAGGAAATGATCCTGTGTTTGGTAAATCAGTCTTCGCTGGTGTTTCTGTGTGTATTTTCTGTTAAGCTGAAGAAGAATCTCACTTCACCTCAGGCTGCAACTCTTAGTCCGTGATGTCATCGCATTCCGAGGCTTTGAAGATCACCATGGTTGCAATGGCTCGCAGTATGTGATGTCATCACATACTATCATGACATCACTGTCCCTTCTTTAGTGCGAATGCTGTTTAGAGCAGTGGTTCTCAATTGGTCCGGCCAAGGGACCCACTTTTTCCTTTGTCAATAGATCACGACCCGAAATTTCGAACCACTGAAATCTATTCAAAAACAAATTGTGCTGTAATATATACGCTTTGCAGCATACAATATTAATTAAAGTGAAGTACAGTGCATATATCCCTTAACAGAACTAAAGTATGGTTTTAAAAAAGGTTTAATGAGATGATGGAATCAAAGCTGAACTGTATAACATTAAAAAGGCACACATGCTGAAAACCCAACCCCAGAAGGGGGGTCTGGGGGGATTGTCCCCCAGGAGATTTTTAGAAATACTACCATATAAACAACACATTCTGGTACACTCTAAGAAAATAAATAAATCTATTGCTACCCGACATATTAAAATATTTGATGCCATTGTTTGTGTTTCACTTAGTTCTGACAGCTGAACTTGCTGCTCCACACAGAGAGAAGAGCAAAGAGGAGATAGTCTGTGTGAATTACTTTAAATTGTGGGTAGGGTAGATAGCCCCCATTGTTCTGTGACCTGTCAATCATGTTTCTTCACTCATGTCTGCGACCCACTCGAAACGGGTCCACGACCCACTTTTGGGTCGCGACCCACCAGTTGAGAACCACTGGTTTAGAGCATTCCACTACAGTTCTTCTGTTTCTTTAATCTTCTTATTCTTATACTCTAATAATATTCAGCCTGTTCAGCACATGATGGGAAACTTTCAACTTTTTCAAAATATGTTATACTTTTTGAAATATTCAGCTTATTAAACTTTTTTTAACATGTAACTCAATGGGAGGAGCCTTCAAATCCTCTTTTACTAGAGCTCGAGACTTCATTCCAACTTTAAAATTATCACAAGACATTCAGCTATTCAACTTGTTTTATATTTTTCATATCTTTTACACTTTTTGAGATATTTTACTTAGTTTGGAGCTTGGTAAAGAGGCCTTCTTCAGATTGTAACATTAGTGTGTATAGAGTGCCACAGTGACGCGTCCTAAAATCCGGAAGTAAGTTAGCATTTTACCACTTCCGGTTCCTTCGCCAAAAAGAATTGCAATTTCTCCATAGGATTTTGGAAAATAGCTCGAAATAAGGTCTGTGGTTGACACAAATTGAAGAGACAGATCACGTCTTGTGCTATTTACTGTGTGTTTATATATGTTATATGACTGTGTTCGCTTATGAGAACATACGATACAATCGTCAGGAACTACTGGATATTGGCTTCCAACACAAGCTTCCCATTCTTAGGGAATTCCACCGCAATCACAACATCCCAGACGAGGTAGCGAGATCACCGGAATCCCCGTGGATTGTTGTCGGGCCAGGCAGGCGGCATAGACGGCGGAGAGAGAGGAAGCAAAAGCGGGGCTGCCGGTCCGGTCTCCTGTTGAGGCTAAGGAATCAGCCACACAAACCTCCCCTGCCGAGTATGTACCTCACCAACGCCAGGTCCATAGTGCACAAAACGGACGATCTGGTATTACAACTCGCCGGAAACACCTACGTTTGTGACTGTTGTTTACTTGTGATCACTGAGACCTGGCTTCACCCACAAATCTCAGATGCTAGCGTGCAGCGAGCAGGCCGCACACTACTCCGCTGGGACAGAGACAAGGACTCTGGTAAGAGCCGAGGGGGGGGTCTCTGTATGTACGTACATAACAACTGGTGTAATAACGGCATCATCATTGACCATCACTGCTCTCCTGACCTGGAGTTCATGTCGGTTAAATGCTGCCCGTTCTTTCTACCTAGAGAGCTAACTGTAGTGATTGTCACGGCTGTGTATATACCACCACAAGCTAACGTCAACACTCCACTCTCCCTCCTGCTAAACCCCATCAACCACCAACAGCAGGCTCACCCCGGTGGCGTTCACATTGTTGCAGGAGATTTCAATAAGGCCAAACTAAAATCTGTCCTGCCTAAATTCTACCAGCATGTCAAGTGTCCGACCAGAGGGAAAAACACTCTTGATCATGTGTACTCCAACATCAAGCACGCATACAGAGCCATACCTCTCCCCCACCTGGCCTGTCAGATCATATCTCCCTGCTACTGACCCCGGCATACAACCCCCTTAGACGGAGAACAAGTCCAACAAGAAAGTCTGTTACAATCTGGCCTGAGGATGCACTTGCTCAGCTTCAGGACTGCTTTGAACACACCCAGTGGGATGTATTTGAACACCAGCACCTGGACCTGGCAAACAACACAGAGACGGTACTGTCCTACATTAAATACTGTATCAACAATGTCACTGTGGTAAAAAGCATCAGGGTTTTCCCAAACCAGAAACCCTGGATGACTGGCCGGGTCCGCATGCTGCTCAAGGCCCGTGACTCAGCCTTCAGATCAGGGGACAGAGCTCTCTACAGTGCTGCTCGAGGCGACCTGAGGAGGGGAATTACAAAAGCCAAGACAGACTACAAAAAAAGGATTGAGGACCACCTCACAAGCAACAACCCTAGGCAGGTGTGGCAGGGCATTAAGAACATAACCAACTACAGGGGGTGTGACACGACAACTGGGGACTGGGACGTCATAGCCATAGCTCTCCACTCTGCACTGAGCCACCTGGAGCATCGTGGGAGCTACGTCAGATTGCTCTTTATTGACTACAGCTCAGCGTTCAACACAATCATCCCCGACATTCTAGTTTGCAAACTATCAAACCTAGGCCTTCCCCCACCCACCTGTTCCTGGATCAAAGATTTCCTCACTAACCGCCCCCAGCGTGTGAGACTTGGCCCCCATCACTCCTCCACCCGCACTCTCAGCACCGGCTCTCCTCAGGGAATAACATCAATGCCCTATACCAAAACATTTGAATCACACCTTTCCCTCATAATGCTGATGTTGGTCTAAACTTTAATTCACTTATAATATTAGGCTAGTTTAAATTACAGCTATATCTATGATCTAACTAACACCTTTTTTTGGATGGATGAGCGAGATATGATAACAAATATGATAACATATATAATGTATTTTTATTTCAGACTGGCAAGGTGAATGCAGATGCTTTTCAGAGAAGCTTTCTGCAGTATGTGTACTGCACATTTGAAGAGAATAAACTTCTGGGTAAAGAGCCATATGTCTGTCCAACCTGTAGCCCTGAAATGTTGGCTGTTTCAGTAGATGGCAATAGGAAACTTTACAGGTTCCAGAAAACAAACCAGTACGTTTTTAACATTGAAACAGCACTTGTCCTTAATATATGTCCTTGTATTTTTATTTGACATTGGGATTGCTATAGTTCTTTCTTGTTAAAACTACAGCTGTTGAATCTAAAATATTTTTGTTAGACTTTATAACCTTGTTTTGAAAGATGCTCTTTAAATATAATTATTATTATTATTACTATGTTCAATTTGTAACTAGAGTGGTTATCTATAATTCCTTTTCTTATAGGAGTGAAGAGCCAGGCTTCTTTGACGGAGTGTTTTTAGCCCAAGACTCTGAGGTTTCCACTTTTGTGGAGGATGTTCGAGGGGCTGTCAAAAGTGTGAGTTTTAAATGAAGCAGAGCAAAATGTATCTCACCTTTTTTAATAACTAATTGAAGTTAAAATAGTAGTAACAAAGTTGCCTTCATATTTTTTTGGAGATGGGATAGAAGTGTTGAGACCAGATGACAGGGTGATGAGGTTAGCAATGCGGTCAAACTGTCACAAACATTATTGCTGTAAAACTGGATTGAAAAAACAGCTAAATTCTAATCCAGAATATATTACACATTTGGAGCCTTCCAATTATCCAAAAACGGGTTTGTTATTATCCAGGGAGTTGCATATCCAGATGAATCTGTCAGTCGAGCACAAAAAACTTGTGTGTAATAGTTGATATGTTTGACAATACCGTCAGTTGGTCCCACTATCCAGTGTTTTGAAATAACTTCTGATAATGATTCTCTAAAAACGATTTACTTTGGTAGACTGCAGGAAAAGCAATGTGTGGGGAATCTCACTGGACAGCTGCAAGGGAGACCATTTACACGAGAACGAAACAGGTTGTATCTGCATAGTTTCTCTTACGTATAGCCCTTTCATTTACACGCGGCCGTAACAAAACGATAGAAACGGACCATGCAAACGATAACGGGTCCCAAGGTGGATAGATCTGCAAACGGAACTCTCTGGGGGGTCAAACGGCTCCGTGTAGCCTCTATACGAACATTTCCCGATAGATAGCCTCTCCCCACCTCTGCTGCTCACTGCTGTAGCATGGTCAGTAGCTACTGTCAGTAGCTACTGCTAGTGCTACTGCTACAGATGTTAGTACAAAATCTACAGCTCGACCATGCTACAGATGTTAGTGCAAAATCTACAGCTCCTCTACCACAACCATCAGCAACAAGTGGACATGGAGAATTACATGAACTACTACATGTTGCTAAATCCACCGCGGGGCATAAACAGAAGGGCAACCATGGCAACCATACTCCGGGGTCTTCTTCGCTGCTTTTGGTGTATTTTGTGGCGGAAGTTACAGCGCCACTTACAGTCCCGGCATATGTACTACAGCGTTTCCAGCGGTCTCGTCTGAACAGACACGTTAAATGAATCTAATGCGTGTGAACGGAAGACTTTTTTGAAAACGCATACGGTGCATAAACGCAAACGTTCCCGTGTAAATGTGGCCTAAGCGAGCCAACAAGTTGGATGAAGAAGGTGTTGAAATTGCTGTGTGTAGGCATGGATTTCTTCTCAAAGGTTGGTAGTTGTCTTGATCATTTTCAATTAAAATATTTGTAGAAGATCTGAAGCCTTACCTTGAATCTGCTTTGTACTCACTTTTTTTTTTAAAGCTTTAAATATGTATAGAGGAGAAATCTTTGCCTATCCATTTTTGGCAATGGACGTGACGTGTCGGTATGTACCATATCTTGACAAAGTGTCAGAAGCCTTGCCTCATCTTCAGCCCCTAAAGGAAAAGAGACATTGCTTGTCTGTGATGCATGCCAAAGCCCACAATACCAAATGCGAGGTGAGGATTTGAATTACTTAAACAACAATTAATGGTCCACCACTACACATGAGTCTGAACTGATCCAAGAGAATGTTTTAAGTTATGAGTTGTTGAGTTGTTGACCTTGAGATTTGCATCAACATTGATTACCTCTAGGGATGCCAGCGATTATTCGATTTTTCGAATATTCGTTACAGTCTCCATAATCGAAAACCATTTTTAAAATTCGATGTTATTTATATATTTTTTTATTATTATTTATGTTTTTCTTTTTTTTCCTGGCTTAGTTTCAACCAAAATATAGACTAATGCTAATAATAGTAATAGTATTAATACTTGTAAATGGCCATTGGTCACACCACCAGTTTGTTTTACTGTAAACTTGGAGGAAGCCAGCAGCGCAGGCTGCGCAGAGTGCAGACTGCTGCTGCCTGCTGCACACCGACTCCGAACTGTGGGTTGATGATGTCAAACAGTGGGCCAGAAAAGGTAAGAACAATGCTGTTTTTACGTATAAGTAGTAGTACATATCCCGCTTCAATCTCATTAGTATGCATAAAAAAGTGACAGGTCACACCTTCTAAGTCCCGCCCCCTAATTATGTTAATGACCCCCCTTTGATATGCTAATGAGCCCTTTGTTCGAGGTGTTATCGCGTACAGGTGTGACATCCTCCCCGGTACCCCCCACCCCCCTCAGCCCACCCCCCCTCCCCCTCACATACAGGTGCTACATCCTCTCAGGTAGCCCCCCACCCCGCTCAGCCCCCACCCCTCTCAACCCCCTCCTCCTCCCCCCTCCTGTCCGGTCGGCATGTTCGTTACAGTTTAAATCTTCCGGGGCAGAATTAGAAAAGTGCCGGTTAAAGGTCTTCTATGTTATTTAATGAGCTTTGAAACAAACTGATATGATTCGATATTAAACCAACTAATTATAGTAGATTAATTAACTATTCAAAAACGTGTACAGTAATTTACAATAACACGGGAATAATAAACGGACTGCTCTCCCCCTCCTGACAACACGACAGTATCAAAGTCGCGGGTCCAATAATGAGTGACTCGACAGTAAAACTAAAACATATCTATAAATAGTTTAGGTAGTTTGAGAGGTAAATAAAATAGCTACGTGTGATATCTGAAGAGTGTGTTTTGTTCCGCTCACCGCATGCAGAGATGCATGTCGAATAGTCCGCAGCATCGGATCTCCCTCCGTCAGCAACAGCGGGTATCCCCCCGTCAGATTAGACTTTACTAGCGTTTATGTCCATGCGCAATCAGCCCATACAGGACATCTTTTGTCTGTCACACACTATTCTTGTATGTCACATAAGTGGTGCAGCTGATGCTGTATTGCGCTAAAGGGGATATCATTCTGAGAGATTTCCATCCGCACACACACACACACACACACACACACACACACACACACACACACACACACACACACACACACACACACACACACACACACACACACACACACACACACACACACACCCCCATACCCGTATTCCCCTCCTACCCCGCCTTTTTTTTAAATAAGAGTTGGGTTAATAACTAAGGAGGCTCTCTTGAAGTGTACGGATGGTGAACTAATGTTTAATTACTATACTAACTATAAGGGCCTCTCTTTGTTGAAAGGAGGGGTAATCTGGTAATAAATGCAACAAAGTCTCTCTGAAGAGGTTGGCAATAAATTAAAGATCTTAATGACCCCATGGCGTTTGTTTTTTTTCTTTATGTTTAATTACATCAAATCCACTAATAAAATAATCCCTATATGAAGTTATATGTGTCATCTTTCCTGAAACTGAAGTGCTGTCCGTTTTACAAACAAGTTATCTTTCTGCTTCTTCACCCCTGAATTTTCCTCCCCCGTCCCTATTACTTCAGCCATCACATCAAGTCAGATCTGTGAAATTAAACACCTCTTCTCAAAGCGTGACTTCCCTATTGGGGGAGTGGGGCAGTAGGGCCTAACCCGATTTGGCCAAATATACTAACATGCAGAACATATGGTATGTTTTGAAAAAAGACTAACCATCTATCCAGTTCAAGCTGTCTTTAAGATGTGACATTGCGCTCTGACTTTTTCCCGTAAAATCGTGACAAACTATTACTTATTAAATTTGACCTCATACTGCTTGGTTGAAAATGATAGATGAGCATTTTACCAACAGATCAACGCGCAATCAACCCATACAGGACATCTCTTTCTACACATTATGTGTTATCACTATAATATCATGTCATTATTTAATGTTGTTTTGTTTGTGTGTGTGTGTGTGTACAACGAAGTCTCTTTGAGAGGAAAATTATAATTTAAAGATCTTATTACCCCCTTATTGTTTAACTACTTCACACAACTATTAAAGAATCCCTATATGAAGTTACATGAGGCTACATTTACTGGTGTGCTTCCCTAGATGATGTAAATAGTCTAAGTGTCATGTTAGGGGGGCATTACGGACCTCAGGAGTCCGCCCTTGGAGGCTTGGAGAGCGGATAAAGAGAGGTGTAGAACTAACAAAAAATAATTAAGTATTTGCAATGCATAAACATAGAAGTTATCACTGTCATATTATGATCACTTAATGTAAGTAAGTTTAAGTAAAACTAACACAAGTCAATATTATTCACCTAGGCATTAGTGGGCTTGAGGGTCTCAGGGAGCGTGGACAAAGTGACTTGTCTCTGTATTTGAGGATTCTCAGTGCAGGCACTAACAGGAAGCTGCTGTGCATTAGTGGAGAGTCCTCTGAAGGCAGCTGTTATTTCATTCACACACTCATCTGTTACCTGCTGACTCCTCATAGTAAGTCTAGCCAAGTCAGCTGTTAAGTTGTCCATACCATCGCTTGATAACTGGTAACTTTTGATTGACAGTCCAGCCATGGCAGCTGCCAACTCGTCCATATAATTCTTAAGAACGTGGTGACAATACTACAAAAAAGTATATATATATTAGGTCAGTTAACCTTGAAGAGCTAAACAGTTCAAGTGGTAAGTAACTAAGTATTTGCAATGAATAAACATAGAAATGATCACTGTCATATTATATAATCACTTAATATGGAGATAAGTCAAACTGACACAGACAGTTTAAACTGCTTGTTAAAACGCTATTGCTTATTGTGTTTTCTCAGCACACTAACATAAATAAGGATGTATAATATAAAAAACTAGAAAACGATATAGTATTTTCAAGTCTTACTTTAGTATGGTAAAATTAAGAATAAGTCACATTAAAGTGTGTCATGATTTTCCGTAAAAAAGTCAAGTATAGTTTGTCAAAAGAATATGAAAAAATCATTTTCTAGAGTAGTATGTTGAAAATCTCAGTGTTTAACTGAACACACCTACATGTGATAACGCCTCGAACAAAGGGGTAATTAGCATACAAAGGGGGGTCACTAGCATCAGTGGGGGAAAGGTGCTACGGGAATGAACTTTGAGGAGGGGGAACTTGTAAGAATTTCCAGCTTTTGAAGACAATTATGTGGTACCCGTCCTTACAGCTAAACAAATCCTAAGCCAGGTATTCAACAGACCACAAGAAGCACAAGAAGCCCCAGAAAGGATTACATTCAGAGCTAATAATGGTGAAACCGAAGAAGAAGCAAAGCAGATTATAATCGTTGCGGGTGAAAGGATAGAGAATTTGCAAGTGATGTTAATGCACTTATCTGATATAAAAAATGCATTCATTTACTTCCAAGAGACCCCTAAACATCTAGTTGGGCAATGTGAATTGAACGATAAACCGATCACTGTAAATGAAACGCGGAGAGAGGCAGCAGTGCAAATCGTTAAGTCTATTACCTTGTATGCACTACGCCATTAACTTGGTCAAATGTAATATGTCTTTCCGAAGATGTGGCGAATGGTGTGTTTTTCAATTAAACAACCATAACAAATGAAAATGTGTTTTATTTTTGCTTTCATATATAGTAATAGTATTAACTCCTCTGACTAGACTGTACTAAAATAAGACGTTTCACTGTTAAATAAAAATGGAAGTAGAAAATCGAGATAATGATGAGGCTCGTTATGTATCCAGTAACTATGAACAGCAGTTTGAAAATGTTATTTAACCCTTTAACTCTAATTGACAAATCTAAAATAGCCTCTAGCTTATCTATAAATTTGTGATTTTAACACTTATTCACTGACACAAGGCAGATTATGGCTTTTTTCTCTTGCCAAGATACTTTTAGACACACTCTGAGGTATGCAAAACCTTAAAACTAGAAAATGAAGTACATTGTCTGATTAGATTTTTTCGTAAAGACTGTTTCTCTAAAAGGCAAGTTTGTGATTTTTAACACTTATTTACTGACACAAGGCAGATTTTGACTTTTTTTCTCTTTTCATGTGTTACCAAGATACTTTTTAGATACACTTTTATGTATGCAACACTTAACAAAGGGGTATAATATGAAGTACTTTGTAAGGGAATGGGGGTTTCTTTAATACCCCTTTTTTTATTTCTAAAAAACACTTGTACAGTTAAATAATGTAGGTTTTTCTCTGATATTCTAGTTATTTTCAGCTACCAAGATACTTTTGTTGATACACTTTTATGTAGGAACATTTGGCAACTGGTAGAATGTCAATTATTTTGTAACAAAAATGTATTTTCTTAAAGACTGTGACTCTAAAAGGGAAGTTGGTGATTTTAACACTTATTCTCTGACACAAGGCAGATTATGGCTTTTTTCTCTTGCCAAGGTACATTGTCTGATTAGATTTTTTCGTAAAGACTGTTTCTCTAAAAGGCAAGTTTGTGATTTTTAACACTTATTTACTGACACAAGGCAGATTTTGACTTTTTTCTCTTTTCATGTGTTACCAAGATACTTTTTAGATACACTTTTATGTATGCAACACTTAACAAAGGGGTATAATATGAAGTACTTTGTAAGGGAATGGGGGTTTCTTTAATACCCCTTTTTTTATTTCTAAAAAACACTTGTACAGTTAAATAATGTAGGTTTTTCTCTGATATTCTAGTTATTTTCAGCTACCAAGATACTTTTGTTGATACACTTTTATGTAGGAACATTTGGCAACTGGTAGAATGTCAATTATTTTGTAACAAAAATGTATTTTCTTAAAGACTGTGACTCTAAAAGGGAAGTTGGTGATTTTAACACTTATTCTCTGACACAAGGCAGATTATGGCTTTTTTCTCTTGCCAAGATACTTTTAGACACACTCTGAGGTATGCAAAACCTTAAAACTAGAAAATGAAGTACATTGTCTGATTAGATTTTTTTCGTAAAGACTGTTTCTCTAAAAGGCAAGTTTGTGATTTTTAACACTTATTTACTGACACAAGGCAGATTTTGACTTTTTTTCTCTTTTCATGTGTTACCAAGATACTTTTTAGATACACTTTTATGTATGCAACACTTAACAAAGGGGTATAATATGAAGTACTTTGTAAGGGAATGGGGGTTTCTTTAATACCCCTTTTTTATTTCT